AATTTCAGTACCAAAGTAAAACAACAAGGACCCAATTATACCAGAGCAGACCGAGTGGATGTGTAGTTGCTCTTATTATAGTCCATTCTTAGACTCCACTTGTATTACATACACGCACACATAGTTAACGTCTGGTCTTTACAGGAAACAGGAAGCACACAGATTGAGCATCGTTTATAGAGACATTAAGTGTTCATGTCATCTTGCTGCAGAAGATCTAAAGCCGTTAGCGAATACAGCACTTGAATAAACATGCCTGTCATTTTGGGAGTTTTTGGATTAATCCTCAGGTTAATATATTTGAATGCTTTGGATACAGACTTCATAAGTTCAATTAGCTTGTTATCTTTGTAAATGAGGTCATTTTGAACTGTACAGACACAGACTGGTGTGGTTACACTTGTTACTGTTGCACCTGAATATTTTATGTGAACCTTTCCTTGGCGTGAGACAAATCAAGTCACACTGGTGTACCTTTCTCTGATTAGCCTGTTCTTGATTAAGCTGTTTGTATCTTGTGGCAATGACACGATACAGAAGTAAGACATCGGGTGTAAGTGTAACTGACACCTACCTAAAACCTTATAATCTGCTGCAGTGCTCTGAGGGAAAGTCAGTTAAACATTTTGAAAACTTGTTTTTCACAAAGCCCATGGACATTTACTGAAGAAGAGATTAAAAAAACAGTGTTCTACCATGGCCTTGAAATATAACATTTTGTTTCTGGCTACAGAGTAAGAACAGGAGGTTGAGCAAGAAAATTAGATAGTGGAAAAAAGAGAAAAAGGATTGAGACCAGGGTGGGAGGCAAGGCAAACATGCAAGTGTGTAACAGTGTTTGGTCTATATAACACCTGCTTGCTATGGATAAGGAGAAGCAACAGGAATCAGTTGTAGAGAGAGATGAGGAGGAACCGCAGAGCATGCCACATTAGATGGGTGAACTAGCAGATCTGCAAGGGATCGGTTAAGAGTATGAGAGAGAGAGAGGGAGCGGTTTGGTTGCAAAGTAAAGGGTCAAAAGAACTTAGTTGAGGATCTTAGTGGAGATAGGTTAGCTATGAGGATGGACTTTATTAAGTAAGTACAGAAAGGGGTCCATTAAGAGGGTTAAATCTACCTACTGTAACATTAGCATTCCTCTCATCTGGGTGCTCCCTCTATCCTTCCATCCTTCTTTGTCCCCATCAATGTGTGCCTTTCATTCCCCCCATCTAGGCGTTTCCCAGGTAGATTCAGTGTTCGTCCAATCTCCCATTGTATTGCCCTTTAATTAGGTCAGGAGCATGGCCCGCGTGACAGTGTAAGAGCGCATTTGACAAGGGATACAAGTCACACACAGCACTTTGGGAAACAAGCGCCTCTTTCTTCTAAACCTTTTCTTACTTGATATGATGGGACTGACAAGTAAACATATCAACAGCTATGCTGTTGTCATGTGTCTTTAGAAAGAAAAAGAGGAAAGAGGGATGATATTCAATTCATAGAAACGGACAAATAATGAAGACATTTCCATTTGGCATGGAACAGTCTACCAATTTTAAGGTGCCCCTGTTTAATTGTAGCAATAAAAAGCAATGTCCCTTTGTCCTGGCTAATGTGTGTAATATTTAATTTTATTTTTTCTAATCATCAATCAGTATCACACACATCATACTAAAATTACCAGAAATGTCTTGATAACTATTCTCTCCTTTAAAACTGGAACCATCGTTAGACAAAAATGTTTTCATTACCACATAAAATCTTTTCAGAGGATGCAATAGAACCTTCTTCGTAAAATCATTACAACACTGCAATCTATCTTATGAAGGGAGAGAATGAGATGATTAAGTTTGGGCATAAAAAACAGGAAGCCTCTATCGCCTATAAAAATCTATGCAGCTCCTCCTAAAAATACTATAAATAGGGCTATATGGATCTTTTACAATTGCATTGAGACAGAAAGAGAGGAAATTCAATAGAAAAGTTGTCCTCTGGCAGTATTTTGAAGGTGAGTTGACAGAGAAGCTTAATTTGTGCACAAAATTTCTTTTCTTCCACCATTTCCCCAAAAAATAACAAAGAGACGCTTGCCTCAAAGTGCTGCTCACAACATTGTGCTGTGCTCCTATAGTCACAAAAAAAATCTATTTTCTTTGCAGAGGTATGGTGCCACTTTAAAGCCAACTAATAGGCCTATCTGATTCTGTTTTGGACAACAAAGTTTGAAATGGATTTTCAGTTCATCAGTTTTGGAAAGGCTGCCCCTTCTCCCCACCACAACCCCCACCCTCCCATCTCACACAGGGCAGTAGTGGCGCCAGCTCGGTGAAAAAATGATACGTTTGTTTTTCCATGGCCAGAGAACGAGGACTCACATGGTATCCCTATGGAGCAGCATAGTGGGGAAATAGAAAGTACAACAAAACATTATACAAACACACGCACATGCACCCACACACTAACCATAATGTGCATGCCAGCACCCATTCATAATAACAAACAAGTCATACAAGTCTTACATACGCATTTCTACCCATTTTATCCTGAAAACTAAATTAATTGTGTAATGCCAGGTAGAGTTGGACGATACAATAAGTTTACATTTTATTCTCTAAATTACATTGCTACTAATTTTAAGTTAGTGTTGTCTATCATGTCACAAGCTTTTGGATTTATCTAATGATCCTATACATACAACTTTAAATGAAGTTAAAACTAGTGTCATCTACTATAAATACAAGAAGCCGCTGTCACATAAGTGCATTCATTTTTTTGTGATTTTAAGTCTTTTCAAATTGTCTGAAAATTGTAATACATCTGCAATTTGCTTGTTTTAAAGTTTCAGAGAACTGCAAACCCTGAAATATACTGAAAATGATTCTTCTGAGAAAACTGTTTCAAGTACACAGCTCAGTTTCTTATGTTGCTGCCTATAATTACCATCAGGGTAACAGAGAGGATAGTTGTAAAGTTTTCAGGTTCACAAAGTTCTCCACTCAAGGTGTCAATACATTTTTTCATTAAGACAAAAATCTGGCTACAACATTACTAAGTTAACCTCAACCAAAAAGAGTTTGCTAGCTCCTAGATGCAGAGAAAAAGATTAAGGGACTTGAGAATAAAGGCATAAACACTAACAGCTTTTATGAAAGAAGCATGTTATCTAGTATAAAATCAGCATTATCTTAGTTCACCTTATTTGAAAAAATATCACTGAGAAAAAATAGGTGTATCGCCTATCCCTTGTGTCAGATACTATTTTGGTAGTCTTTTCTATTTCTTAAACTCATAGATTTCCTCACATCAAAAGAGTTATTAGAAATAGATTATGATAATTGCGTGGGGCTGCACCATGACAACTTTAACTGACAATAAAAAATCTAAGCTGCACCAATTTTCATTGGCCAGTTTTTTGTGAGGTGGGTGAAATTTTTCTTAGTTGCTTCCAAATGGTTGGATATACTTACTTTTTCAGTTAACTTTATTTGATTAAGAGCAAAATAAGACTTTCCTCTCACACACATAATTTCCTTATCCTTGTTATATGAATTAGCTGCGGTGATGATTGTCAGTGATCATTATGGTAGGCATTGAATAAAAGTCTATCACTTCGTGATTTAAGGAAGAGAAGTGCAGGATGCGAGAGTCCCATACCAGAATGATTTTTTTTCATATTGTCGCTACATTTTCTCAGCTGCTACTTGTGTGAAGAGGAAAAAAACTACAAGAGTCTGAAAAAACTGTTTCAAAGTTGATAAACCGAGCTGATAATAGTGGGATAAGGAGCCCTTTGTTCAACATCTGTGTAGAGTACCCAATTTTTAATAGAGAAATCTAACAAATAATTCTGTGTTTGCTTTAAAACTGCAACTGTTGGTTTACCAACCAAAGTTTTTTTTTGCAGGGGCAGTCCTACAGATATATTAATTTATACCCCATCAGCAGCTAGGTATAAGAAAGATTTGTAATCAGGCCAACTAAATCTGCTATAATGGATATGAGTATCAATGAGATTCAATACTACTACTGTTTTACTGTTTTCCACAAAAGCAGTTATCAAAAGTCAGCTTACTGAGTGTCTCTTATGAAGTCTAAATCCAGCAGCAAGAGGAGCTGGGGGCCCAAGAGCAAAGTAGTAAAGTGTGTGAAAGGGGTGGTTAGTGACAGGTCAACAATGACAGATTAGGAAAGTGTAGGGCATATTTAGTAAAGGCAGGCAGGGTAAGCTGCAAGAGGAATCTAAGCATGGCTTGAAAAAAACATTCCTCTGACCTGATATTCCTATAAGGTAGCGAAAGTACACCAGTTTAGGTCTCACAAGTTCATCTGTGATAAAGCATGCACTCTCCGCCAGCCCTACTCAACTAACTACCAACCAAAAATATAATTCGCAACATCAAAGCTGGCATTAAAGTCTAATTTCTCTATGCAAATGCAGAACGAGAGAGAAAGAGAAAGCTTTTAGTTTCCTCTTGCCTCTTTCATTTTATATGAGAAACAGTGCTGCCCCCCTGAGAAAAACCCCAGTGCACAGTTTTGTGGAGAAAACAGGCTAGGGGATCCTGGGGGCTGCCTGCATTACCAAAACAAACCATTCAGCAAACAAACAATTAGACCCTTATGAATTATGGACAAGCTATATGAAATAGCAATAAAAACGAGGAGTGGAAAGTCAATGAGCAATTACTGAGTTAATGAAACCTCTGTCAGGGTGTTTTTAAACACTCAGGTGGTGGTATAGTACAATTTGCGGATGAACCAGTGAATACCTCCTTAGAAACATGAATATTATTTACATGTGACCTATGCTGCTGACTCCACACACATCTCTGTGGAAAACTGCTGTGAGTGGCACAAAACAAGGTAACACTGAGAAGCATGGCACATAACAGACATAAAAGTGACAGGAAAAAAGGTTTCTTGTACCAGACAAAGCAACACAACTGTGTATCAGCCATTTTGTTTTTTAGTCTGTATCTAGTAACATCCATTATTCACAACCCAGTGTTTTACCTCTCACAGACACGCACAGTCCATGCAGCAATGATCCAGGAGGATATACTGAACACCAGCAAAACAGTTCCTGGACAGATGGTCATGAGAGTCTTCATGACAAAGCGTGTATTGAAGTTGATCTTGTTGAGAGCCCCAATGCTGCGGGATGAAGCGTCCGTGAACAGCTTGCTGTGGAGTAACATGACCCTGCCTATCAGGTACAGTCTCAGGAACATTGGAATAGAGAGAATGATGTCCACATCTGCATCTGCCACGGATGGAGTGTAGGTAAAGGCCAGCCGTGCCGTCCAGGTAAAGACATATTGGCCTGGGATAGGGTGAATGGCACACACCAAAAGCTCCAGCACGATGAAGAAGATTCGCTCATATGTCATGGCTATCCTCCAATCGTCCGCACCATTGTCAACCATAAACAGCTGAGGAAAAAAACAAATATATTTGATTAAAAGCGTTATTAGTTTCATATGTCTCATCTTTTTGCAACACTAACACAATCTGTATATTTCTTATTTGGAAAATTAGCAAAGAAGAAATATAAAGTTTGAAAGTTTATAAATGGGACCATCATTGTGTTTGGCTGTGTTTCAGCAAACAGCACTGGAACATTAAACATAATTGAAGGTAGGATTAATGGAAAAATTAACAAAAAATGTAAAAAATCTGCTGTCGTTCACAGGAATATGGAGGTGAAACAAGGATTTCGGCAAGACAATGATCCCAAACACACAGCAAGGGAAAATAAAGGTCCAACACAGAATGGCCCCTGGGCTCCCAAGGCATAGAAGCCCTATTGCACTGAGTTGACGATGCTTACTATCAAATTGTTCAGAGGTGTATTTACATTTCTATTATGACCCCTTTGAAAATCTCAAGCCATTTCTTCAAGTTTAATTATTTATTATTTAAAATTTTCAAGTGTCAGTGTTCTTCCTGTGTGCATTTCTGCCTTATTTTCCAAATTAAGGGAATGATCGTAAAGTGTGTCATGGGTTCAGTTTATCTTCTGTTGACTTAACACTACAATGTAAAGATTATATATACTATACTGCAATTGAAACAAAATTGACAAAACCAAGTTCTCCTTCCACAGAAACAGGCACAATCTCTAAACTACTATGTATTCACACACTATCAGTAGCGGGAAAAGTGCTGTTTCATTACTTGAGTAAAAGTACAGATCCTATTGGTAAATATTACATTCCATTGTAGTTGAATATAGTCTATGAAAATTGGGGGAACAATTCTGATACATTTGGCAGGACAGTAAATCCAAATGTAAGATAATTATAACTGTATGATAATTATAACTGTAAAAAAGTGTAAAAAAGTTTTTACAGACACTGAAAGATGCTTTAGAGTTTAATACACTATTCATTCATTCCTTAGTCAACGCATCATTCTGAAGCTAAAAAGGTCACTTCAGAACATCACAGTAATATATGGGAAGGTTGGATTACGTGCGCCCTGGTGCACAAAGACAGTCCACATTGGGGCAGGGATTCAAACCAGCGACCCTCTCGATGAAGGATTTATGTATATAGATGTGTAGCTCTCCTGTGTAGGTCAGTTTAGATAAATAGAATATATTAAAATGCATATTTCCAGAAGTCAAATGAAAGCTGGAACTTGAAATATTACATTTACAATCAGACCAGAACTTGAGACTAAACTAAAATTATAACAGTGTGAGTCTAACCTAGGATTCATATCAGCATCATCACCCATCTAGGTGCACTCAGTGTACCTGTACGGCAACACTTGTCGGACAAAATATATATATATATATATATATATATATATTTTTTTTTTTTTTTTTGGTCGCCCTTAATATATTTTACTCCAGAAGAACACATGGCCCACTTTTTGTTCTTGACATTTCCTGCAAAGATGAGGTACAAGTTTGGTGACACAGTAAAATAAAAGAGCTGATCAAGAAAGGTTGTTGCTTTAAGTTAACACTCCATAACTAGGGTAGCTAGTAGTGCATTGCCTATATTTTTACCTACAAAATAGCATCACCCTACAGCTAGGAGGGAACACGGCAACACCAAGTTTATCGTAACGAACACGTACATTTCTGTTTACAGATATCTCACTAGGCAACCTATTGGTAAGTTTGACTGTTGGTTGTATTTACTTGATTCTTTTTTAAACCACAGTGTGACACAAGAAAAAGAAACTTACAACTTTGAAATGCTGTTAAATAAAAATGATGTACTTGTAACACTCAAATGGAAGTAGGAGTTACAAGTAAAATAACTCTGGGCTTACAGTTATGGAAATCAATTCTTATATACTTTGCCATCTTAACAATCCCTTTTACTGTTATCTCCCTGTGTAATTTGGAAAAGATGTAAAGTTGAAATTCAATATGTGTTCACAATTGTGTAAAGCTCACTTTGATAACCAGGTGACAGGGATTGACATTAACATTTTGCATTGTTTTGAATTTGTGGGTGAAAAGATGAAGGACAACATCACAGTGGAAAGCCGATTTTGCCATACTGTCTGATAATAGCAAAGAAATGTCCCTCAGATATGAAAAATCAACTGTTTGATACCGACACAACTCGGCGAATGGTGATGCTACAAGCCCATTTATTGACTTTTTTAACGTGCTGTAGAGCTAATATTGTGTACGTGATCCTGTACGGAACTGCAAAGGTTCTGTAAAGAACTACAAGTATTTTTTTCACATTTAAAGGTAACATCATGTTTAATTTAAATGTTGTCACAATTACAAAATAATTTTCCTCCTTACTGTTTCACATTACTCATTTCAAACCAACTCGTGTCTGATAAATATATGATAGAAAGTGTTTTCACTCACCTGGATTTCCCGGGCATGGTACATTATTATAAGACCAAGCAATATAACAGTGGAAAGGCTGATAAGGCATTTCAGTGCAAATGAGTATGAAGATTCCTGTGATAAGAAAAAAAGGACATGAAAGAAAATATTAGGAATAGATCAGTGTGGGAATTTAAAAATATACATGCAACACAGAAACATACACTTCCATACAGTATTACTGGACAAAAAAAGATGACAAGGAGGTATTATTTGAACTCAAAATTAGAAAATTATAGTTAAAAAGAGAATGACAAGCAAAACTATCTGTAACAGAAACACACCTTTTTTTACTTGATAAACAGACAAAAAAATGCATACTTGTAAAACAATCAACCACGTTAAGCACTGGTGGTGATTAAATAAACTAGTTGGATACTGCTTGTGACTGTACACATGTACATGTAGGCCATAGATCCTTTAAATGTGAAGCTGTAATTATCAACCTGCCCCTCTAAAAGGGTAAAAAGACATGTGATGAATCAATTTAAGGCCCATGGTTTAAAAATGCTTCTATGCAGAAGGCTAATGAACAGTTATTGTTAACATGATATCAGTTACAACTAATGAATATTACAAGTATAAATATTGTGAGTGGGACAACAACCAGTGTTCTTCCGTATTACTTTGTCCTTTGGTGGTCCATATTTCAAAATGTATTTCTAGCTTTAAACTTGATTATTTTGCCCATCAGTTCAGCGACATATTATCAAGGCAGTCCCTGGTGAAATAACATTGACATTAACCAATTAATTTACCTAACAGAGGTTCAAGTATATTCACTCAAAGTGCTCACTGTCACGTCATGTTTTTTTTCCTTCTAAGCACAAAAAACTTTAGCTAAGCCTCTACATTTAATGTTGTGATTTATGTTATGCTAAATGGAAAGAAATTTATTTTTCCCAATAACTACATGAAGGCACAGCTATGTTTTTGGGACGGCCGTGGGTCAGTAGCTGAAGAAGCCCCAGACTTCCCTCTCCCCAGCTACATCTACCAGCCCCCCAAGGTGTTTCCAGGCCAGACGAGAGACATAGTAATTCCAGCATGTCTTGGGCCTTCCCTGGGGTCCCCCTCCCAATGCCGGGAAATCCTCACCAGGGAGGTGGCCAGAAGGCATCCTGACCAGATGACCTAACACCTCATCTGGCTCCTTTCAATGTAGAAGAGCAGCTTTATTATGAGCCATTACCAGATAACCAAGCTTCTCACCCTGTCTCTAAGAGAATGGGCTCTCCCTTAGAGACAGGGTGAGAAGCTTGGTTATCCACCCAATGGAGAAAGCTTAAATCCACAAACTCAATCTTTTGTTCACTATCCACAGCTCATGACCATAGGTGAGGCTAGGAACGTAGACTGACCAGTAAATCAAGAGCTTTGCCTTTTGGCTAAGCTACTTCTTCAACATGAAAATGTGATGCTGGGTCCATATCACTCCAGATGCTGCACTGATCCACCTGTTGATTCCTCTCTATCTTTCCGTAACTTGTGAACAAGACCTCGAAATACCACAACTCTTTTCTGACCAAGGACCATTGTCTCAGATTTGGAGGTGCTGATTCTCATTCCAACCACTATACTCAGCTGCGAATTGCTACAGTAAGAGCTGGAGTTCTTGGCCCAAGGAACCCAAAATAACTACAGGAACCCAGGCTGTGCGTCAAGATGAGTCTGACTATATCTAGCCAGAGCCACTCAACCAAGCGAACAAGCTCAGGTTCCTTCTTCACCAGAATGGTGACGATCCACATCCCTCGAGTGAGCTTCTGCAGCCGAGGATCAGACCGCCAGGGTCCTCGTCCTCGGATGCCACCCAGCTTACAGTGTACTGGACCCCTGTGGCCCCTCCTGCCGGTCTCTTGGAAGGGGGACCTATGTTGTCCTTTCGGGCTTTATGCCCCTCGCAGAGTCACCCATAGTCAAAGGCCTGGGTACCACGCGCTTGCCGCCATGCCCAACTGCAGGACTAGCTCAAGAGGGGTGCCCCAGTGACCCGCATGTCAGGAACCAGCAGGACACAGGACACAGATGCAGGAATCAAGTAGGAAATGGTCTTTATTGATCTATTCTTCGAAGCAGAAATAAATCAAGTTGTTATGAAAAGTTATATTCTAACAGAAGCTCTCTTTACAGAGAGAGACAACAAGGCAATTAAAATTGTCTAGAAACAAAACTTGCTCCGAAAGGCGGAGGATATCTATGCTATTAAGCTTTGACAAAATAATAAACTCTCCTTTAACGGAGGCAAGATAAAACTATGAAAATTTATGTTTAAACGAAAATCTCTCCGCTAATCAGAGGAACTATAAGCTATGAAAAGCGAATACAAAAATAATAATCACTCCAGAAAACAGATGAAGGAGCACAAAGATATAAGATTGACAAAAAAAAGCTCTTACTTGGACAATACAAAAATCAAAACAAGACTATGGCTTACTTAACTTGACAAGGAATAATAAACACTCAATATTCTCATTCACCAGGACGGTTACTATATACATTTGCACAGGACAGAGGGTGACACAGACTATGTATACATATGAAGGAAAACGGGGAAAAGGTAGACACAATAGGGAATTAGGGAAGACAGACTGTTGGCACAAGAGGAAGAGCAAGTGATCTGGAATGAAAGGAGAGTTAGAGTTTCAAAATAAAACAGGAACTGACAAGTCCAAATGACAAAACAAAGTAATCTTAACCCAACAACATAATTCACCACGGTGTGACACTAACCTTTTTATAGTCCATAGAGGTAGTTTAGACCACTTTATGTCTGTTTCCTCCCCTAGAGACTTTTTTGCCATGGGTGACCCTACCTTGGGCATAAAGCCCCCGACAACATAGCTGCTAGGATCTTTGAGGTACGCAAACCCCTCCACCACTGTAAGGTGGTGGTCCAAGGAGAACCTAAGAACCTGCCCAACACAATCACATCCACACAGCATTCAAACAAAATAATGAAAGTCCAGGTGACAAAAAGCCTGTACTACAACCATATTACATAAAAAAGTAACACACATTTGCATCCCAATACCACATAATTGCTCATAAGACTCCCAGTTGTTGATGCAGGATTCCAGCTGCTTAACAACATATGCTCTTTTTTGTTATATTTGGTATTTCATGTAGCATAAAAAACTTTTCAAACTTAAGAATCATCATAACTAGCATCATAGCTCAATTAAGAGTCAAACAAGCAACTAATAAAATTTAATTTTTTTATTTGGTGTTTGCATCAAAAACTTTCATCTTGCCAAAGATCTGGGATGAAGCAAGCTTGTCCATCACCTGGATTCTAACACTTCAATAACTATGGCGTAACTATGCTAAATCTCTACGTAGAAGCAGTGGCACTAAAGAAACAAACCTGCAACATAGATATGTGAAGATATGTGAAGATAAGGCTCATTTCGTGTTAACTGTGTTAATTGTCAATCAATACTGAACTTTAACAAAACCTTTTACAAAATAAAGGTTTATCTAATAGCTGGATTTCATGAGGTTATAACCATACTGAGTAATGTCATATATCACAGGAATACCACCTATCTTGACCCTACTATGGACTGACTTACTCTGACTAACTATCCCAACAGTGGAGACAGCATTGGTCCTCTGTAACAAACTTTTAATCATGGAGGGACATAAGACTTTAAGAGGACAAACAGGAAAGACTGTGTGAAATATTCATCCCACAATCTTTCCAACAAAGTTTTGCTAATTTAAACTGATTACAGACCAACTAGTGTGCGCATTTTAAACAGTAACATGAAAAAGATTTTGTTGTTGTTTTGTACCTGCTGCTTACTCTATTTTGGCATTACAAAGTTGTTACAAAGTGATTAAGTCATTCCGCACCTGAAAGGCATGAACACATTCATTTTTGTGCCTGGTCCAGGTTCCCTTTTTAGAGCTTCAACATTTAGGTAAGAGAGTATTTGTATAATATAAATTAATCTGGCAGAATTAGTAACTAACCATTTCTTTTTCAATTTCAATAATAAATGCACAATTGTTTAGAATTTAAAAAAAGAAAAGTTTAAAAAAACACAGCCTAAATTAATCCTAACTCTAAACCGATTGTGAAGACCAGTGCTGGCATGAGACTCCCTGTTGTGTCCTCTCTCCATCTACATATAGAAGACAACAAAACATGAACTACCAGAACAGCCTATATTTATTATTCTAATACCAGTATAGAAAATAAGCAGAAGTTCATAAATCTACAATTATATGAAGAACATTTGCATTAAAAGACATAAGCATAGTATGCTATGTCCTGCAATGGAATGGCAACCTGTCCAGGGTGTACCCCGCCCCTCAGCCACCGTCAACTGGGATAGGCTCCAGCCCTCCCGTGACCCAGAAGTCTAGTAGTTGCAATGCCATAGTAACCCTAAAACATAACTGTTCGCTGATGTCAGTTTTCAAGATTCTCACTTGGGTCTGTTGCTTGCTGTGTTGTAGTCAATAAATTACTATATAAATACAATTTTACCAAGAAATTGAGTCACTGTTCAGATTACATGACAGCTTTGATAGACAATACACATCAGTGTTAATAATTACTCTTCATAAACCTGACAACTGCCAACGCCACACAACTCAAATGATAATAACAGCAATAAAGCACAAAGTACTCCCACTCATGCATCACACACATGAACAACCTACCTTAGTGTATACCCCCCATGACAGTTCAGTTTCTGTCACCATGACAACAATTCCAAACATCCCAAAGATGAGTGCGTAATCGCTTAGCCTCTTCCGCTTCTCAAACAATGCCCTCCGATGTCCAAGCTTGTAACCAATGTCCTTGTTTTTCTTCTGGGGAGCTCTGCCTTCACTTCGCCCACTGCCCTCCCTGACCAAGCTCTCATTGGATGCTTTACTGGGATCTTCGCCGCCGTTTCCCTTGGACACCACCACCTCCAGGCCAGAGCTGTGCAGCGTCTGCAAGGGTTGTGTCTCTGAGTCGAGCTCTGCAAGATTACGGCGCGACGAGGATGCCAGGCTGCCTACTAGTGGTCTCACCACTCCGCCATTGTACTTGCAGGTGTTCATGGCTATCTGAGGGAGTCTGCAACTGCTCTCAGAGAGGGAGGGCTTGGATCCAGCATGGCTCGGCTTCTTCTGCTCAGTAGTGTCCTGTGAACAAGAAGAAATTGGTATGTAAAGTAACATAACCATGTAAAAAGTGATCAGTGTGACTGAGAAACTTATATAGGTTTCAACTGTAAATAAGAAAAGCATGCAGGAGCATTTGCTGTCTCTCAAATGTTCAAAAGAATGATTTCCATCAAGAGGATATTGGCACCATACATTTGTATTTTTTTAACATTCTTTATTTTTTAGTCAGCAAAACAGAGTTACAGCATGAAAGCGATGAAAAATACTCAGGTAAAATCCTTCTTTTTTGTTTTTGTTATATAAACAAGATTAATACAAACTAGGAACAATATGAGAGATTAAGAAGATAAATAAAACATCCCCAAGAGAGGGGAGAGAAAAAAAGGGGGTACATAAGGGCCAGTATATTTATATTATTTGGGACCCATTGAGAAAAGAAAGGGAAAAATAAAATAAAAAACAAATACTAACACTCACACAAAAAGTACAAACCCAGAGATTAATACTACACCTCTACCAAATCTGTTGTTTTACCCTTGGATATCAAGGAATTAAAACAATTATTCATTAAGTAAGGCCTAAATCTTGGGTCAAGGGGCACCAGTGAATTATCTGTAATTTATTAGTCAATTGGTACTCTAATTTAACTTTAGTCCAAATTTTTAATTGGGTTTTAATCAAAGGATTTTGGATGTCCTTTAAGAATACATCTAAATTTGTATTGGCCAGTACTGCCTGAGGTGGGGGGTCTTTCATAATTGAAATTTTTTTAGCTGAAATTTATCACAGAGGGGTTTTGGAGGCGAATAATTAAAAGCCAATAACTGAGTCTTTTGTACGATTAATTTATAACCAGAATAACTGCCAAATTTCTGTAAAAGGGCCAATAATTCAGGAAATGTATTTGAGGGGCCAGATATATATTTAAACATCATGTGCATACAAAGCCACTCTATGGTCCTCCCCATTGATCGTCATGCCCCTGATACAATCCATTTGTCTCAGCCATTGAGCAAGAGATTCAATAAAGAGGGTAAAGAGCAATGGGGAGAGAGGACAGCCCTGTCGTCATCACCATGACGACTAGAAAAATGCATGCATTCATAAAAGCACACTATGATTTTTTTTCTAAACCCACTCAAGAAATACCTAACCCTCAACAAAGGTGTTTTCTAACACCTAGTTCTTGTAATTAACTGTATTTGTAGTCTGAGGGGAAAAAAACAGCCATACTGTGTTGGACACAAGTTCCATAAAAATGAATGATTCAAACTTAAAAAATATTCCCTATAGCCCACCTTATGAAGACTTTGTGTATTTTGATAGAAAGACTTGAATATTGAATCATATGATATGTATTCCTTTTTCCAGCATGGAGGGAAAGTAGTGTAGAGGACACTGGTATGGCTAAAACCTATAGCCTAATTAACTGTTGCTGCTACAATTAATTCTTAGTACTTAGTAGGTCCTGCTGTACTATGAACCATAACGGTAAAGGTTCTTACAGAAAATTTAAATTTAAATTTAACTTAAATTGAGAGATTCTTAGAGAATGTTGGTTTGTGTTTTTTGGCAGAGCAGTATGGTGAATTTATACCAACTTTTCCTTCAAAAGAAAAGGCATAAAAAATTGAACTCCCACAGACAAATAAATAATAGACTTGCATGTATAATTAAAACAATATGGCTAATGTTAGACTCTAAAAAGTGCAGATAATTGAATCTTTTTTGGCTGCACAAATATATTTATAAATGATTAATGCGCACCATAACCCTCATGTCACCCAAACAATCTTTCCTGCAGAAAAAACCCAGTTGTATACAAAATATAGCATAACTGAACTTTCAATTATTTCATGGGCAGAAGAAAGGATGAAAAAGAAGTCAGTGAAATATGAAGCTGAATCAGTGAATTGTAGTCTGAGTTCATTGTTGAACTCAGACTACTTTATTTCAATCAATTTGAAAAAATACAGTCAACCCGTTTTTACGGTGGTGTGGTGGTTAGCACCATCGCCACAAGAGGGTTCTTGGTTCAAGTCCTCGTGGGAAGCAGGATCTTTCTGTGTGGAGTTTGCATGTTCTCCCTGTATTTGCATGGGTTCTCTCTGGGTTCTCCAGCTTCCTCCCACCGTCCAAAAACTTGCATGTTAGGTTGATTGGACATTCCAAATTGCCCTTAGTGTGAGTGTGCCTCTTTGTTGCTCTGCAATGGACTGGCGGACCATCCAGGGTGTACCCCGCCTCTCGCCCATTGACTACTTGGATAGGTTCCAGTCCCCCAACGACCCCATTTGGGAATATGCGGTTCATAAAATCGATGGATTTCACCTGAACGCATATTTCACTGAGTAATTTCAGATTTTTTTATTTGATAGGAGTTTCCGCTCCACCCGCTGAAACTGAGAGAAAATGTTCAATCCAAGCAGAGGATGTAGAGCAGTCACCCTAGAAGCATCTACCTGAATATCTATCCCCAGCTCTTCAGAGATTTGGGCAGATTAACATAATGGGTTAAGAAAACTTTACATGAAACAGTGCCTTTTCCAACCAAGTGAGGGATGTGTGATGGTACCGCTGGCCCTTTTTATTAGATTTGACAAAGCATGCCTAATGCCTTTAAATTTGCTAGTGGGAATACAGAAGGGCAGCCCTAATGGACATTTACTAACTCTAGCCCTGTGATGCTATCGTCTTCCCCATATTATGGCACATGAGAACAAGACTAAAGGTTAAGGATTAGTGTAGCTCATAGTGTTTCTAATCCCCTTTTCTGTATTAAATTGCTTTTTAATCTGAGCCATTAGAATCCTTCTACACTTTTGAAGTCTAGTGTGAGCAAACTTTGGGTATGGATGACAGGAGAGATTGTAGAAAAAGATGCTGACCTGGCCAGTGGTCAATAAAGTTATTTGTAAGACCATAAAATTAGAACAGTGAGTATGCTGATCAGAGCTACCAATGTTTAGTCCAACGAAGTAAAATGAACAGCAAGTACCCCACGGTCAATTTTATAAGCAACACTGTTCATACACAACTTTTTGGCAAGAAGGATTTGCGTTTCAGCATATTAAGGTATTTCAGTCATTCTCAGTTAGTGTTTTTGTTCATTTTGAAAAGACCTTCACTAGTTTGAGAATAGCTCCTCTATGGTCTGGGGTCAAGATTCATAATAAGGCTATTTTAAATTGGTAGGCTGGAAGGTTTTGAATTATGTTTAACAGAAATTTCCATCTTTTTCAGAGGTATATTCCTTTTCAATGGTCTCAGTAAGACTTTCTGAGATACCTTTTCTTTTTTTAAACCTTTTCCGAAAAATATGATGCCAAAAACGTGCATATTATTCAGTATTATTTGGTGCCTTTAAACATGTACAGGTTTACCAGGACATATTGGCTGGCTTTTGAACAATGGTGGATATTTCCTTGTCTCTGCCCTAAGGGGTATAGCAACCATATATCCAAAATTATTACAAATCTATTTGTTATCCCACCAAACGTTTTCTGACTAAACATCAATACACACAGATGAGCTTTGCCAGGAAAAGGTTGCAGTTCTACTAGTGTCAGATCCAAATGATTAATCAAAGTGAACATTGACACAAAATGTATCCCTAATGTGGGTTCCAATGTCCAATTATGTAGCGATGCATCAGAGTAACGTGGCTATGTTGTGACAGTGTTGGTACTATACAGAGGAAAAGGAGAACATCCAAAGAGGAGTTGTTCCACTAATGTAATGAACAGGAGTGATGGTGAACACAGACAGCACAGAGCTGTTGTTACATGCTCAGCTTTGGTTTCCTGTTTCAGGTGACCGTTGGTCATTGAACCAGGTCAGGAGTGACCCAAAATCGGAGAATCTGTTCTATCAATTAGTTTGGGGGAATATATACAGTATGTTCTTTTGTTTTTTATCACCAGAGACAGATTTAGCAGTTGTGATAAATATAGCGGGGTGGCAAGGTGGTGTGATGATTACCATCGTCTCTTTACAGCAATTGGGTTCCTGGTCCCTTGTGAGGAGTTTGTATGTTCTGAATGGGTTCCTAGCTTCCTCC